TCAAAATACTAATGGGAATAATAGAACAGACGTTATACCAATACTTTGGATAGTTCATCAGTTTTCAGTCTTCAGTAGTAAAACGTTGCATGTATCGTGTGAGAAGTCAGAGGGTTTTTGTGATATAAAAAGTTAATTTTGAGAATAAACTGAAGAGTCGAAAAGAAAGTTTTGAGATTCATTGGGAAAAGTACGTTTCGTTCATCAAGAGCACGTTGGCCGATATTACGATAGACAATTGCCCAGATTTACATATAGAGATCTATACGTTTCATATTCTTTTCATTGGTGTCATTTTCACTGTTGCAGGTGTGTTTGCTGATTTTATGTTTGTTATGTGGTTGAAAGAGAAAAGTGTTATTTCACACGTTCTATCCTTTTGAATAAAGACATGATCATTCATATTCTACCCCATTGAATAAAGACATGATCATTCATATTCTATCGCAATTGAATAAAAACATTATCGTTCATCTTCAATCTCATTCTACAAAGACACCATCCTTCATATTCTACCCCATTGAATAAAGATATGACCATTCATACTCTAACGCATTGAAAAAAGACATGACCATTCATCTTCTATCGCATTGAATAAAGACACCGCCCTTCATATTCTATCCCATTAATTAATAACTGATCCTTCATTTTCTATCCCATTGAACAAAGTATGATTCGTTACACTTTATCCAACCGAATAACGATATCATCCTTCATGTCCTATCACATTGATAAAAGACATAATCCCACATGTTCTATCCCATTAAACAAAGACGTGATCCTTCATATTCTTTCCAATTCAGTATAAAAATAGCTTTACTAGATCAATAACATTGAATCTATCAAGAAATATTTGCAACCTGCGACGCAATCAATTTTAATCATTCTGGTTATTTTTGTGGGTTTTTTTACATTTTAAAGGAAACACGTGAAAGAGTTTATGTTAAAATCTGCACCTCCCCTCCCAACCCCCACCCCAAAAAAAATCTCAGAAAAACAATTACCTCCCTCTTATCCTCTCCGATAATACATTTGAACTTATGTTGTTTTTTTTTAAAATGTTTAAATTAGTTTTGTAGTTGTTTATTCGTTCAAGTAGGCTTCTTGCCGAGATGTTCGTTTTTCTGTTGAGTCCTTTTTTTTTAAAGGTTTTCGTATAATTTCTTTCGTTATTTCTTACCTGATTTCAGTACGCCATCTTTTAGTATCATTTTTTTTAAAGCAAAATTCTATTTCTAAAAATGTAAGAAAACTTTTTTGTTGTATTGTTGGCATTGATCTATAAATGCTGATATTTTTATTCATCTCTAATAACAAGTGTTTTTTAATCAAAATAAATTTGGCGTGTGTTAACTTCGCTTTGGGTTTTGTCATTCTGTGTTTAAGACATAGTTTATGACGACTCAAGACGACTGATAGACACACTTTGCGTCAATGGAATCTTGGCACATACACTCGGTATCGATAACAGCATATGTTATCAAATTGTAAGCACCACTTCCCACCCAAACTACAAAAAAATATAATTTTTTACTTCTTTTAAAGGTGAAGATAAACAAAAAAATGACAGCTTATTTCTACGCAAGAAAAATAGTTTAGATGTCATGTGTTTTCAAATTTTAAAATATTGGGCTTATCATATCATTGTTGGTGCAGCTACACTAATTTTTTTTGTTAAATTTAAAAATTGTGAAAAATTAATTTCAAATTTAAAACAAAAACTCTATGCGTTATTTTAAATAAATTATATATTTACGGAGTTTGAGATGTTGATGCCTTAAATTAAAATATAACAAAATTTCCCTTAATTTCTATTATTTTATGGGAAATCCATAATATAAATAATTCTTATATCTAAAGAAGAATTTCTAAACCATTTTTCAAGCCTGAAAAGCCTCGAGTGTATTTTTTTTTCACATACATTTTGATCAATCTCATAGCAATGTACACCTACTTTACTTTCCGCAAAAGACAACAAAAATATATTTTATCATTTTTTTGAAGAAAATCAGAACCCATCTCCAGTTTTCAACGTTAAATTTTCACGTGTGTATTATAATGAGGTTTTCATATTCATGGGTATACGTTTGTAAATACACCCCTGTTTTCTTAATGCAATTGACTTTCTTATTTCGTAAATTATTTTTTTTTTTTATAAAAAGATTAAAGTACACTCATTTTCTCAACTGTATTATCATAGGATTTAAAGATATTGTCATCCAGGTAAAAAATGTACACATCCTATTTCGTAACCACGATATGTATGTACCTAAGAAAGTAATTTATTTATCAAATTCATTCCTTTTTTCTGAGGCGTATCTTGTACGCCTGAGGCGAAATGGAAATATCGACAACCTCCCCCCCCCCCACCCCCAGGTTTCAATGAAGAGTAATAATATCATTCACGGAAATGTATCCCCTTACTTAAGCAATCACTCATTTTTTGCACTTCATATGGTTTGTTCATTTCTGAGGCGTATCTTGTACGCCTGAGGCGAAATGGAAATATCGACAACCTCCTCCCCCCCCACCCCCAGGTTTCAATGAAGAGTAATAATATCATTCACGGAAATGTATCCCCTTACTTAAGCAATCACTCATTTTTTGCACTTCATATGGTTTGTTCTTATTGGGATGAGGGATAAGAGCATTAGTGAACGATAGTTGATTAATGAGTTTCGCTGCTCTAATTAAACGGCATTTTTGATAAGGTCATGTTCATAGAAAAAAACTTGTAGTATACCGTTGTGAAAATGGGTAGGATATGGATATACAGTGCAAAACCTTTAAAACGAAAATTGGGTTAACACGAAATAATAATGGGGTCCCGAGAAAAGGCGTATATATTTTCTGCATGGATCGCTTGACACGACATTTTTTTTAACACGAGGAAATATTTTGATCCCCTCGGTTTCGTGTTAAACGATTTTCACTGTAATATATTGCAGAAAAAACATTTCTTAAAACGTCTCATGATGTTAGAAACGTAAACATCAGTACATAGATACTTCCTTTTAAAATACGGAATTATGATGAGTTTTCACAATAGCAGGTAGACATTGCCACTAAGTGCCTGCCATTAAATCTCCATAACATTGGGTGATATTTTCTGGTATTTAAAGGTCCTATTTTTATTACATTATAAATTAAATAAAAGTATATTTTTGGAATGAAAAAAAGTAAAACTTATAAAATGTTAAAAGTGTGTGGGTTTTTTTATTAACAGTTTAAAAAGCAATCAATTACATTGATTAATTTTATTCTTAAAGCTTGGGTAAATACATTGGCGTTGTTATTGATACCAAACAAACTGACAGCGTCGGCTGAAATGTGTAAGTCCTTCTATGACATTATTTGCGTTTACATTTAGAACATATTCATTTTAATTTTATTTCGCAATATAAAACGCACTAACATGCATATTCTGTTGAGGGTCTGAGATTACGTCTTTCATGACCCCCGGCTCGAACATCCTTCTTCTAACCTTAGCCATACAACATTTTCCTAACGTAGGGCTCTCCAACCGCCCTTGCTTCCGATGGGGCATCTAGTGAGGGACGCTTGGCTAACAGGTGCGCTAGTGTATCCCTTGGCGCAGGCGACAATGCCGACAGGTAAGGCAACTTTTGTGATCAAGCATACAGATTTTTCAATATTTTCTTTTTGTTTGTATGTTTAACATTAAAAATCAAAAAAAAATAATATGTATTGACTTTGATCATCATCATCATGTCCCTTAGTCCTTGGACAGTTGGGGCGCCACAGATGACATGAGAGCTATCCTACTCCATTGCTTTCTGTCTTCGGCACTACGCACTGCATCGCCCAGTGTTAGTCATGTCCACTCTTTGATGTTATCATCCCATCTTTTTCTTTGTCTTCCTCTTCTTCTCCCTCCTCCTGTGGTGCCCTGCAATATTTCTATGGCAAGCCCTTATTTCCTTGTTACGTGGCCGTATCATTGTAGTTTGCGTTTTTTCACAGTCACCAGTAGGTCATCGTACTTCCCAATTGTATGACGAACCCTTTATTTCACTGTATCATTGGAGATATGGTCCCTATAGCAGATGCCAAAAATGCTTCTGAAACATCTCATCACCATCGCCCTATATTTTCCTTTCAAGATCGGCTGTTAATGTCCAGGATTCACAGGCATACAGGAAATTTGAGAGGACTAATGAGCGCATCAGCCTGATTTTGGTGCTGGGAGCTATATTTTTGTCATTCCATATTTTCTTGAGCTTCTTTAGTTCTGTTGTAGTCTGCTCAATCCTGGAAACCAGTTCGGGATCTGGAGCATTTTTCTGAGACTATTGCTCCTAGCTTTTTGAAGTGGCCTACAGTCTCTAATCTTTCCTCCCCGACCTTAATTTCAGTCGTGATGCCTGCGGTATTATTTGTCATCCGTTTTGTCTTTTCTGCACTGATCTAGCTTCCTAACTAAAAGGTCCCCACCATAATTTGTTTTCTCTTTCCTTTAGTTTAACTATACAAATTCATTTATAGTGTACATTTTAAACGTCAATGACATAGCCAAATACTATTAAACACACAGTTTATATTGAATAAAATATCCCGAAACGTTTTTTCGTACATTTATTCGGTCTAATCGTAATTAAAACTTAAACTTTTTATCTACACAAATACTTTGTGTCTCATTTGTAGGTCTTAAAAGCTGAATCGAAGTTCAACCCTTTTATCAGAACTTCCTGAATGGAGTCATAATTATTAATTTTGGTTAATTGTCATGACTAATGATTTGTTATTCATTCGGCTTATTTTAATGGGAAGTGAACACTTAAGGCAATTTATTCAAAAATTAATATGATCAAAAGTATGGACCAGTCGAGAGCTGAGTTATTTAAACGTTCTTTACAACGTGAAATAATAGGTGTTTATTTTAAAAAGTAAACACGGATTCAAAAATACAGTATATTACAATTGATACATTTTTAAAAACACTTTAATGAAAAACGGTATTGTTTTTTCTACATAAGACAATGGTCATATGTCATAGATTGATTACCTATTTTAAGTTCTTTGTAAGTGCACACCTGTTGTCTGCTAGCGTTGTTTCGGGCAGTGTAGAGAAGGCTGAACAAAATGCGTTTACTTTACAATTCGACAACAGGAACATACACTTCAACAAGAGCGCACTAACAAGGTCAGAAGTGATTTTATGTTCATTCAAGTTAAAAAAAGCAACAAACTAACTAACAAATGTGTATTTCAAAAATAAATGTTTTATTGAAATTTTTATAAAGATAAACCACTGACCATTTTCAACGTTAAATAGCTATGATTTAACTGTAAAAAGTTTCAATTGTCAAACCTTATCACTACATCCTGCTGTGAACATTATTCTTAATATGTATCTTATACTTAATTTATTTGGAAATATCTGTCTTTAAAAAAAAACAATTTGACCCCTTTAATGTTCTACTAACAACGTTGAAATAAGTTCAAATTACTATATTCACATGTAATTTTTTTTTTATAAAAGTAATTTTTAGAAAATGTTTCTTGTTTTTTTTTATTTCCAGTTTTCTGGACTGTCTAGCTGGCAAGGACACAACACCTTGCGAAGCAACAACGCTGCCATCTAATACATCAGAATTTTGGGTGGAAAAAAATGATAAAAAAAATAATGGGAAATATATAACAGACGCCATACAAGTGCTTTGTGAAGTTAATCCGTTTTTATCCCCAAGTGGTAATACGTTGCAATTAAAGTGTAAAAAGTCTGAGGGTTTTTGTAATTTAAAAATTGAATATGAAAATAAAATCAGGACTCGATATGAAACGTATGAGATTAGGTGGGAAAAGGCCGTCTTGTTCATCAGCAATACACTTGATGATATCACGGTAGAGGTTTGCGGCGAGTTATCGATAGGAAAATTTATGTTTGTTATTCCCATTTGTGTGTTTATTTCTATACTCAGTGTTTCAGCTGTCATTATATTTATTGTTTGGTTGAAAAAAAATTATAATCTACATCGAACAGCGAAGTTGTCAAGACCGGCTAACGAAGCAATAAATTTAACCCACTACCACAGTCGCCCATATGTGTCAACAATAAACCGAAGAGTGGAAGACCGTACCCACAATCCCACGAACTCCTTACGTACGAACTGTTATACTATTCAAAAACCCCACAATCGTGGCGTGCCGGCGGTACCTCCAACATCCTCGTTGCCGAAAAGCTCGAAGAAGTTTCGATTGTGCGATACGATTCCTAAGGAGATGACGGACGTCAAACCAGGTACCAAACAACAATACTTCGAGTTAGAGCCAGAACCAGAATATTGTAATAAGAATACATAATCCTCTAATAACGGATTAGCGACTTAGGGAGTCGGTTATGATGACATGAGACACTTCTGTATTGTGAGGCCTTAATCTACATAAAGTTTATGAAGAAATAGAATGATTATACCATTTTTGTTTAACGCCACTTTTATATTTCAAATTATTTTTAATAAAAAATATGTATGCTGTATAAAGTTTAATTAATCCTATCAAGGTGTCCTTTCCAGCGCAGTCTGCCTTTGTTTAATTGTTGCGAGTAGATACTACTTTGTGTGGGTCTTAGAGAATTGATCTAGTTATTGTTTTGTACGGATTCGCCATCCATCGTTGTCTTTCACTGAAACTTATGTTTTTCTGACGATTTTCCTCTCCTATGAATAAAAAGGTTCTCTGCCTTCTTAAGCAAGGGAACATAGCCTCAGTAGCCTTCAAAAAAAAACTGGTCTAATGATAGTTGTGCTTTTGTTGTTTTTTTTGTCCTTTCTGGTAGCTTTTGTAGCCTGAATTAAGAATGGTTGCCGGCTGTTAATCTTGCTTGCATCACGTAGAATAATTTATTGTGTTCTAAGATTGTAGCTGCTTTATATTTGAATGTAGCCACTCTCTCAAGGTGTGGTAGGAGCTCCTTGATATTTGAAAGTAGAAACTCTTTCAAATGTATGATAGTAGCTCTTTGGTATTGAAAAGTAGCAACTCTTTCAAAGGTGTTGTTGTAGCTCATTTATATTTGAAAGTAACCACTGTCTCAAAGGTGTGGTAGTATCTCCTAGATATTTGAAAGTAGCCACTATCTCAAAGGTGTGGTAGTATCTCCTAGATATTTGAAAGTAGCCACTATCTCAAAGGTGTGATAGTATATCTTTGTTATTTGAAAGTAACCAATGTATAAAAGGTGGGTAGTAGCTCATTGATATTTGAAGGTAGCCCCTTTCTCAAAAGTGTGGTTGTAGCTCCTTTATATTTGAAAGTGACCACAGTCTCATATTTGTGGCATTAGGTTCTAGATATTTGAAAATAGCAACTGTCTCAAATGAGTGATTGTAGCTCCTAAATATTTGAAAGTAGCCACTCTCAAAACTGTGATTCTCTTTTTTGACTTTGTCACCAGTATGCGTATTTTGTGGCATTGCAAAACACTTTTCGCTTCATTTACCCCAAGATTAGCTGACTCAGGGTTTCCGAAACTTTATTGTTCGTGACTCAGTAATGATGGTTTTTTCTTCTTTCGTTTAAACCGGGTTACGACCAGGCAATAGATAAACTCCACTCTATTCTATCTTTGTTTTTTCTCTGGAAGAATTTTGTTTTGTTATGGTTCTACTGGTACATTTATCTATAGTCATATTTTTTGTTAAAGTTATTTTGAACAGCATGCATGATACTGAGTCTCCATGTCTGAGGCCTGATTTATCATGAAGTCTATGTAATTGGATTCTACTTTTGAAATCAACGGTCATCATAGGTATGAGCTGGGTAAGTTTGTGAAGAACTCCAAGTTACTTTAGTGCATAAAACAGATATTTACTGTTTACGCAAGCAAAAGCTGTTTTGTAGTTCACAAACTGTTGGTACATTTTTATAATTTCTTCTATTTAAAAATGTTATTTGGTTGATCTCTTCTGTCGGAATCCTTATTGATAGTCCGCTTGGGTCTATTCACTATAATTTTCAAGTATTATTTCTATAATTTTAATGAGGATCTTTAAAGTTACATTAATAGGTAGATACCTTTAAAATTTTAGAAATGGAACCTATATCAATTTTTTGTGAATTAACCTTAGGGGTGCAGTATCACATTTTTTTGGCATTTCTTCCTCTTGGAAATGACGTGGTGTATTATCCTATGAAATCATTTTCACCAAGTTTTATCAGTTGTGCAGTGAAAACGTATATTCCTGGATCTTATTACTTCTCGTTTTTTATATTGTTTTTCATTTAGCGTTGCTATGCATTAATAAAGAAATAAATAAATATATACATATATATATATATATATATATATATATATATATATATATATATATATATATATGTATGTATGTGTATCGACTATGTTTGTAAGAACGTGTGTGTCGATTTTGTGTGGTAGTGTTTTTATTTTATGTGATAATTTATGTTTTTGTAAGAGCGTGGGGTTATAAATAAGTTAATTGTTTCTAAAAATATAACGGCTGTTCAAAGCTGGCATCGCTATCGTTTATGAGGTCAATTTGCTTTCGTTCAAGATTAGCTTACGTCTAGGACAGTTGTCGGCAAATTCATTAGTCAAAAGAGCCAAAAATCAGCAGCTGGACGATTAAAAATTTTTTGAGAGCCAAATTACTTTTCAAGAACATTTCAAGAAACATTTTTTTGGAGTAAAACCAGATTTCTGACCGACAGCCCGAGCCGCATTCAGGTCGCTAAAGAGCCGCAAGCGGCTCGCCAGCAGCGATTTGCCGACCACTGATCTAGGATATTAACTGCATGTTAGTGTGGGCTCATTTGTTGTTAAAATTGTTTTATGTGATTAGAATGATTATTCCTTTTCTTTTATAAAAAATATGTTTATTGCAATATTTCTATTTTGACTCATGAAATTCCTTTAACATGCTCACATCTCACACTTTGCCTTGTGTATTTGATTTAATCAAATATGTTTATAGCATGATTGTTGTCGGATTTAGCATACAATTCTTTTAAAATTTTCTAATTTTCTTTTTATCCATTTATGTATTTATTATAATGTGTAAATATTGAAGCAACAATTATTATTATACCATTGAAAGAATGTTAGTCTCCGGAGTCAGGGGGGGGGGGTGCATGGATTAGTAAGACAATAAATTGCTGAGGATTTCAAAAAAGAAGATATTTTCTATTGTTAAGTGTTGTTGTTTTTTCTATACCTCCAAATGTGACCTTAAGAGGGCTACACACTGTAACCATGTGTCACCTCATTGCATCTCGACTCTCTCTCTAATATTTACCTCCGACTCAGCTTTTCTCTAAATATCCATCCCACACATTGTATTAACCCTAATACTTTCATTTACCTTTCTTTACCTGCCGCTGTACCAAATTCTAAGACATATTTAATCAAACCTCTACCTCCTGTTCCGGAAACCAGTGTGAGCATCTCTGATCTTACTCTTTCTTGTACGCCCTATCACATCAAATCCAAACAACCAAAATTAGATTTAATTATAATTCGAAGTTATGTTATTTAGCTTTGAGTGTTAAGACATCTTATTAAGAATGTGTCTTGAGATCTCACCCGTAATCTTCGGTAAAGCAAATGCTAAAATGAGTGCTACGGTCTGTATAACAGGATCAGGAAATTCTTCCTAAATCCGATGATTGCCTCCAATTAAAGTCTTTCTTAAAATGGTTTAAAGTACATTTTTGTTATTTGTCATTTTCAAGGACTTTTTTCTTGAATAAAACATGCATGGTTTATACACGTTTAACTCTGTTAACATAAGCAATGTAACATAAATTATTTGTAAAAAAATTATGTTTGCTTTTGTATTGTGCTTCCACCCACTTACTTTCGTTCTTCTTATATTTGTTTTCTTTGCGTACTTGGGTGAAATCATATTTTTTTCTTTTCTTTCATTTTTAGGAACTGGAATTATTTTAAAAAATATTATTTTAATTAAAAGATTAATTATTTTGTTAGTTTTTTTTATTTTTTGTTAGTTCTTGTTTTGTTTTACTGATGATGGAATTTGCTGTAAAGTTTGGATTTGGATTTTGTCTAATCCGAATCAAATCTTCTCGTATATTGTTTAATGTACACACATTCTTTGTGTGTCATTGATCAAACTAATTAGTAACGTGGTTTTTCGAGTGCAGACCATTGGTGACTAATGCTTTCCTTTCCCGATTGCCATCTATTTTACTGAAAGCTCAATTCAATTAACCAACTATTTCCTTCCAAGTATTTCAAACGTACTAATTGTTGAGACGTAAAGAACACAATGTGGGCTTCTTTAAACAAAGTTATATAGAGTTATATAATTAATTATGAGAGAGTATTTCTTAGCTATATAATTATAATATACTATGTATAGCTCGCCATACATTGGCGACAGCAATGCTTGAATTACACAAGTGACTTGAAAAAACAGGAACTCAAGTAACGCACATTTAAGACTCTCACTCCCCCCCCCCCCTTTCCCCCCCATGAAACGTCACTGCACACTTTTTACAACACGCCCATGAACAATATTAATATCCTGACATCCCAACCACTTTAAAAAGCTCTTACGATTCTTTCTTAGCTATATAATTATAATATACTATGTATAGCTCGCCATACATTGGCGACAGCAATGCTTGAATTACACAAGTGACTTGAAAAAACAGGAACTCAAGTAACGCACATTTAAGACTCTCCCTTCCCCCCCCCCCCTTTCCCCCCCATGAAACGTCACTGCACACTTTTTACAACACGCCCATGAACAATATTAATATCCTGACATCCCAACCACTTTAAAAACGAAGATTTATTACACCTTATTCAATTGAGATGACTTTATTTTCCGAAAAGAAAAGGAAATATTACGGACCAAACGCGGTTGCGTTATTTTAAAAAAATT